GGGATACAAATAACATCAGGCTGATCCTGCCACAATTTGTTCCCCCGGTTCAAATCATGGACAAACAGCATCCTACAGTTATTTATGTTTTTGAACCCATTTTGCAGACGGATTCGAAACGCTGTTTACGTGTGGATGAAACAGCTGCGTTTTCAAAAATACCCGTGTAGGTGTGGACGTAGCGTAAAAGACTTAGTAGTTTATTTTCTTACTACCTGTAATTTATTGCAGATTACTTGTATTTGCTTAATTGTTTACTAAATGTTTGAGGTGTGAAATAAACCGCAATGGAGCAAAATATGGGTGTGTGTGGTTGGAGGATGTGTTCGTGAGTGCGTGCGTGCGCGCGCGCGAGGGGGGGCGCGAACATTTTTCTTGTAAAACAAGGGGGGCCCAGCAAAAAAGGTTTGGGAACCACTGACCTATAAGGACATGACTTTCAGATAATATCTACCACTTTCTATTTTATCCTCCACTTGTCCAGTTTTCTCAAATCCCAAAAGTTGATTCTGTACTTCTGGACGTTACATTTTCATCCAACTGACTTCTTCAGTCTCAGCTGACAGCAGGTTTCCCCGACCTTATAAAGCACACATTTGCATAATGACTGAAACTATCACCACTGGCGAACAATGGGCTGCACTCAAAAAAATGAAATTGGGTGGTTGTTACATGCATAAGATCCAAACTTGTAATTTGAACTAAATAATTCCATGTTTCTATGGTGAACGTAATTAAATCATGTAGCATCTGCATGAAATTCAGCAACTTAATTTGTTCTTGTTGAGATGACATCATACAATCTAGTAAGAGCGGTTAGTTGCCTGGATCCAGCCACTCTTACTGGATTGTATCATGTCATCTCAACAAGAACAAATTAAGTTGCTGAATTTCATGCAGATGCTACATGATTTAATTACGTTCACCATAGACACATGGAATTATTTAGTTCAAATTACAAGTTTGGATCTTATGCATGTAACAACCACCCAATTTCATTTTTGTGAGTCGACTCACGAAATTCACAAGATCACATTAGATGTCAAACCACAGGAAAATCAGTGGGGTTACAAGAGGCAGACAACCACACCACGTATATTTCTTAACCACGCGGTTACTATTTCTTATGGTTTAACTTGTCAAGGACAACAACATAAAGCATCATCAAGCATAGCTTTCCTACTTTTGTTACGTCTGCATTGACAGATTAATGCCATGGTGGTTCGTGCTGTTGCCTCAGAGCAAGAAGATCCTGGGTTCAAATCCACAATGTGGCGAAGTTTGCAGTGGGTTCTCTCTGCGTACTCTGGTTTCCTCCACAGCTAAAAGTCATGCAGTTGTAAGGGTAACTGGTTATTCTAAATTGCCCAAAGGTGTTAAAG